GGACATTTTTGTTTCCCCAGAGGACCCCTGAACACCATTAGCGGTCCCTGTCCGTTCCCCCTCTCCCGTCTCCTGCCGAGCCCCAGGCAGCCACTGTTTTTATTTTCTGTCTCTCTGGATTTGCCTGTTCTGTTATACATTTTGTAAAAATGGAATCATACAGCACATGGTCACACAAGGCTCATCCATGTTGTACCCTATGTCAGTACTTCACTCCTCTCTATTGCTGAGTAGTATCCATTGCAGAGGCACCGCATTTCATTTATTCATTCACCAGTTGATGGACTTGGGGTTTGTTTCCACTTTTGAGTGATGATAAACAGAACCTCTACAAACACCCCTGCACAGATGTTTGTGTGGGTATAAGTTTTCGTGTCTCTTGGGTATATGCCTAGGAGCGGAATTGCTGGGCTATAGGACAACTTATTGGTTTATTTTAATTACATGGTGGAGATCTAGCATTGACCTTCCATACTTTTATCTATTGTTTGTATCTCACAGTAGTATATTTCAAAAAATGTTTCATGTACTTTTTCTTAGTAGCTTTTGTTTTGTTACTTCCTTTTTATTTTTGTTAAACAGAAGTTGGGGTTTTTAAAAATATATGTTCAGTCAGCTCGTTTCTGATGGCAGAATTCATTTATTAGTCATCACAAATGGTCCTGACAGCATCTGGGATTCTCTTTTCCTCTGTTCTTTAGTAAAGTCAAACACGTTTTGATGATGAATCCTCTGACTATCTGGAGCTAATACCTCGTTTTCTTTAAAGGTGACTTGGGAGATGAGCAGGTGGTGAGGATGTGTAGTGAGGTGGAAGCGGTAGTGAAGAGAAGGATTTCCAGAAGGAGCAAGGTGACAGTTGCCCTTTGTTGGCTTGCTTAAGGGGCTCCCGGCAAGAAAATGGAGAAAGTGGTGGGAAGGGAAGGTGGTCATTAGTAAAATGTCATTGTGCTCATTATAACTCTGATGTTGCAAGGGACACTTTGAGGGCAAACTGCTGAAACCTGCCTGTCTTGTGATCTTTCCAAGATCCACACATTCAGGAATTTACTTTTCCTTCATTGTCATCTTTTTCTTCCTTCTTTTAAAAGGAAACTTATTACACACTAAGATTGTAAGAGGTAGTGAGAGACTCTATGATTTCCAGCCATACTTACCACATTTAATCACAGTATCTTTCTAGCTTTCAGAAATAACTTTAAAATCAGTTCTAAAATGTCAGTTGCTCTGGTGGAGTCGGTACAGAAAGCAGGCAATGTGCCGAAGTCACGGGCCTCTTGCCTCCCATTGGTACTCTGGGTTGTGAGATCTGATTCCATAGAAATAGGTCTGTAAAATTAGCTGGTTGGCTACAGCTGCAGAAGGTTCAGTATGGACGAGAGAGAGGAAGTAGGCGTTAGAGCTTGTGGGGCCATTCCTGTTGCTGGTTTGGGTGGGACATAGGAATATTGAAGTTTCCAAGGTAGAGTAAGGGCCACAGACTTTATTTAGGTCGTTTTGCAGCAGTTCTAGTTTGTCTTTGACCTTACGTATATTATCATGCCATTAATAACTAAAACTTTGATAATTGTGGTTTAAAAGAATTCTCGTGGGCTCTAGACTACTTAGTGACATTGTGACCTTCAGCAGATTACTTCCTTATTCTCTTTAACTCGGAGATTCCTCACCTGTAAAATAAGAATTAAAAGTGCATCTATCTAATAGAGTAGTTGTGAGGACTGACAGTAGGTGCTTGTTATATTTAGCACAGTCCCCAGAATGCATGCAGTGCTTGTGGATTTTAGCTACCCTCATTGCTTCCTGGTGGAGTTCCACACTGTGCTAAATTTGCAAGTCAGCATCAGCGTAATCCTCAGCCGTGATCTAAGGACATCAGTATTCACATTCTGTGTCCTGCATCTGCAAGCGGGTTGGCGAATGCGAGCAGAAACAGTGATCCTCTGACAGCTAAGCATGTCAAACGGTCCACCGAGAAGAAAGGGTTTTGAACGGTTAAGACCATACGCTAGAAACCAAAAAACAATGGAAATGATGTTGGGTTGGAAATAATATCTGTTTTCATCTCTCACTGTCATGGAATCAAATTTTTTCATAGTTAACAAAATAAAATGCAAAACTGGTATTCGGGAGCTGAGTACCATTCCCGTAACCCACTAAGAAGATGCTCTGAAGTAAAGCAGTAGCTCTGAAGTAAGTAATGTGGGAGAAAAGAAGACACAAGGGTTAGCTTCCTCTGCTGTTGTCGCCCAGCATACAGCAACACCTCACATCGCTTAAACAGGGGAGAGTCTGCAATGTCAAAAGTTAACTTAATTTTAAATGATGATTTTTGAAAGAAATTAAATTGGTGTCATCGCTGTCCAAGTGATTTTAAGTCGAATGCTGTTTTATGTCGGTGAGATGCACTAGTTGTTTTAATCCAGTTGTTCCAAAAGGTCTCAACATCACCATTGTTTTTATCAACTGTGTTTTCAAAGGTAAAGCCAGTTTTCAGCCAGCTATTTATTGATGGCTGGATTTCTGTTGTTGTTGTTTTTAAATAAAAATGTTAGTCTTTTTGGTAAAAAGCTTTTGAGAGTGCTGTTAGAAGTAGAAATTACACGCGGCATGAGCGCCTGATGCCTGATGGTCTTGATGTGGTAACAGCCCAGTACTAAAAGTGACGCGTCCTTGCTGGACGGGAGCTTGTTGCCCTCCCTGAACGTCACAGCTCCTTCAGAGTCAGTTCCGCCGTCTCCTCCTCCTTCCCTGAGGTCGTCTTCTCCTCCTTTGGGTTCCAGTAGCATCGTTCGTGCCTCTCTTACTTGTCATGGATTGGGCCTTCCAACACAGTGATTTGTATTTCCTTTTCCCTCCTAAAATATAAGTGTCTTGGGCACAAGCCATTAAACCTTCAGATAAACTCAGCTGACAGATTATTGAACATCTGCTGTATCCGGAATGTCATGCCTGAAGGTGTCACTCAGCCCCTGTAGCTTGTCGTTTCAGCCCTCGTAGTCTCCTCTTGACGTTTTTCCTCGTCTGATCCACGATGCTCTTTTTCCCTCTGACCTCTCTTGCCTCTGCTTCACAGCGTGCTCTGTCTCTTCCTCTTGTCATCGGCTTCTAAGTGATGCCAACACCCTAGGTGTTCCCGCGCTCTCTTCCCGTCTCCACGCACATCCTCCCTGGCTGATCTCATTTATTCTCGTGCATTTAAAATAGCATCGTTATGTCAGTGACTCTGTATGTTCTGTCTGTAGTCTAGGTGCCTCAAGTCTACGTGCTCCTGCTGCCTTTGAAGTGTCATGGGTATCATCAGAAAAACAAATGTCTTACAGAAAACCCTTGATCTTTTTCCTACCTAGTCTGGTCCCCCCACTCCAGGAAAGCACCTTCATGCACCCAGGATTTTGGAAGTGATCTTTGACGCATCTTCTCCCTCACCCTTCACACTGAGTCCATCACCAAGTCCTGTTGATTCTTCCTCTAAAAAATATTTTTCCTATAGCACCGCCCGCACGCCAGCCCACAGTACAGGCAGAATGGCCCCTCTTGGCCCCTCTGGTCCGGTCACCACACTGCTCTTATAGTATATATAGTAGCTCATGCTTCTCGGCCCCTCCTGGATGCTCACTGTCCTCAGGATGAGATTTAGAAACCCTCCACGTGGCTTCAGGCTCCTTTTCCATCCCCACCTCACTCCCCACGGTGCCACTGTAATCCGGCAATGATAGCATTCCTTGAATCCCAGAGATTTGCTGAGTTCCCCCTCCCACAGTTCCCAGTTTGTCCCCAAGCTCTGCTTTGTGGGGGCCGTCTTGTTAGTGAAGCTGACTAACCCCGTCAGCCTCGGCGTCATTTCCTCAGACGGGCTGTACCCCACCCCTCAGACCAGACTGGGTCCCGTCCCCCTCTTACATCTGGAAGCACCCGTGCTTTTCTCTAAATCACCTGCGGGAACTGGTGGGATTTATCTCACTGGGCGACTGTTTGCTCAATTTCAGGCTCCCTTGTTCTGGGAGACCCGGAAGGGCAAAGGTTGGGTCTGTTTTGTTCCCACTTCGGTCCCGGGACCTGACACGCTGTGGAGAGTCAATCAATATTTGTGGAATGAGTAGAATAAATAGGAAATAAAATTTCAAAACACACTGTAGTGCTACACAACAGAATGTGCAGAAACTTACATGGAGATAAGTTTCTGACACCCATGAGCAGACCTTGAGTTTGTGACTAAACCAGCCTTGTGCCATTTTTCTGACCTGCCAATTTTGAGTATTGTTATTACCAAAGATAACAGGAAGGAAGATAAGTTTTCTCAGTTTGACAACAAATATTTGCGGATCAGCTGCTGTTTGCCTGGTCCTGTTGTGGAGGCCTGGGACACAGCTGGCGTGATGCTGCTGACTTTCCCTTGGGGGGCAGACAGGAAACCAGCTCGCAGTTCCAGCTCTGGAAAAATACTATGAACTAAACAAAACAGCGTAGTGGACTGGGCGGGGTGGCCAGAGAAGTCCTGTTGGAAGGGTCACGTGGAGCTGAGGTGACAAGGAGTCAACTATTGAAGATCTGAGGGAAGAGCCTTTTAGCGGGGGAATGGCACACGCAGAAGCCCCGAGGCTGGTACAGCCTGGCACACTGTGGGAACGGAGGGGTGGCCAGTGGTCCAGGAGCAGGGAAGGAGGGGTGAGGACAGAGCCAGAGACACTCTGAAAGTCTGCCTGCCTCTCCCTGCACTGGCTGTTTACTATTTATCACAGAGAGGAGACGGTGGTGATGTCCAGCTCGTAGGAATGTTGCTACCTAAGATGATGAGGCTAAATATGAGTAACAATGCACATCACTGATCGTTTAAGCAAAATTAACCTACCTTCCATCCAGTCTGTGTCTGGGAGAAACCAGACGAGTGAATGCTAAACTAGTGGCTGTGTCTGTGTGTTTAATAGTTTACTAATGGATTACCTTTTAAGACTCTGTTGCTAATTATTGACAAACATATTTACATTCATTTCTCACAAAAGGTTAAAAAGCTGAAGCGAGAGCTCTCACAGATGAAGCAAGAATTGCTCTATAAAGAACAAGGCTTTGCAACCTTAAAACAGTGAGTATAAAAATACCGAGATGGACCATGAGATAGTCCAAAGCCCCCGAGCCCACACCAGGGAGGTAGAAGGACAGATGACGGGATCTCTCAAAGGACGATAAAGCCCAAAGCGTAAGGCTTGCACCAAAAGACAAAGCAACAGTCAGCCGGCGAACAGAACACTTGGGAAAAATCTATGCACTTTGAAAAGGTCTGAAGCTTCTCTTAATCATTGGACATCAAAGGAAACAGATAAAAAACTAAACTTTGTCTCCCAGCCGCCCCGGGTGGAGGTGGAGGTGGGGATGGAGGGCTCCAGGAGCAGCTCCCGGGGGCTGGGCTGGGTTCCCTGCGCTGCCCTGAGCCCTGGCCGGAGGCCTGTCTGCCTGGAGGGTGACCTGATGGTGGCAGCTCAGGGAGCGAGGCAGCGTGGCCCCTGGGGAGCTGAGCGAGCGCTCGGCCTCCCGTGTTCCTTCTGCCCTTGCCACTCTGTGCCGAGGTCCGGGGGACCCCACTCCGGGCTGAGCTGCCTCAGATGGAGGAGCAGGTGACAGAGGGTTGCGGGACCTGGAAATCCCTGCCCCCTTCCAGCCCCTGAAGCCCCTGTTCTTCCTGCTGCTGAGGCCCAGCCTGACTGGAGGCCGACAGGCACACGAGACTTTCCAGCTCCCATGGTCCCCACCACAGGGTCTCCGACCAGGGGAAGCAGTGATGGTTTACGCGGCCACCCAGCCACAGCAGGGCTTGAGGGCACCCTCCCCTTGAAAGGCACTCGGCCTTTTCCTTCCCCGCTCCATGCTGCGGGGCTCGGTCGGTGTTGCCAGTAGCGGAGCGGTGTCCACAGGGTTTCCCGGCCGGTTTCACGTTCTTCCCCCGTGTCCCCAGCAGCGATCCAGGGTGGCACGGCACCACCCCGGTCAAGATCCTGAGTGTCTGCTGGCCGGGCACACACGAACAGTTTGTTCTGGCTATTTGGTTGATGAGTTCTATTTCGGAACCCCCAGTCACATGGCTTTGGTTTCAGACGTTGGGTTTTCTGGCTCAGTCTGTTTTTGACACTCACCTCATGCAGTTGTGACCGTGACATTCTTTCAGAGGCTTCCACCCTAGTGTTCTCAAACCTGACTGCACATGGGAAGAATCTGAGCAGTTCTTTAAAAATGCCGGTGTCTGGTCTCCACCCCAGGAAATACGTTCTGAGAGCCCTGGGTGGTTCTCAGGTGCACCTCAGCTGGTTGCAGAGCTCCCCTAAAAACTGAGCAGACCTGCAGCCCCTTCAGTGTGTTACGCAGTAAGCGGTATAAGGAGGGCTTCGTGGTGGGAGCCGGGAGAGGAGCGCCACAAAGCGTTTAGCCCTACGTTAAGTATTTTTAAGGCACATGAAATTATAACTCATGTCACTACCCAGGATTAAAGGTTAGCCAAACTTGCTGTTTTTGTTATCCTGATGTAACAATGCTGTATTGTTTTAAAGCAGTTTGCTTGCAAGCAATTTTTATAGGAATCTAAGGCATGTTTAAGAATCTGTCAATAACATTCCACAAGAAAACAACAGACATTTGTTGTAGAAATTCAGGCTTGATTCTCTTGCAATGATTCTAATCTGCTGAACCAAGAGCAGAAAGATATGGTATCTAACACCATAGGCCTCTCTTGTTGATCTCAACTACAGACAAAATAAAGCTGTTTTCAGTCAAATGATAACCACCTTACTACTAGAAGATTGGATAATAATTGATTGAACCCAAAGACCGTACTTTTCAAGAAACCACATTCCTGATACTGTAAAGGGGACTTTTCCTTGGGGTTATGACAGAGAGTGTATTTCAAGAAAAGATTTAAACCGAATCCCACTGCAGGCTTTTGCAACTTTTCACTAATTCACGATAAAATGAAATAATTTTGTGGAATCTGGAATTACATAATTTAAATCCTAGCTTTCACCTTGCTTGGTGTGATAGTTTTTCCTCGATGAATGAATGTAGGTTTATCTCTACATTATTCACTTCAGTCTGTGGTCCCAAATTTGACTTTGAGCTAAGCGATAGTGTAGTTTATGTGTAGACAGATACCCAGGAGGAGATGCATATTTCCACTTTGCCTCCTCCACGGTTCACTCAAAACTGGAAAATGGAAAGATACGAAACACGCAGTGAGCCAGGGGTATATGCAGAGTCTGTGAAAGTTTGGCTTGGGCTGGATTACACATTTTCCAGGGAAGGCATGCAAATGGTTAGATCAAGGAGGGAAATTAATTATAGGGTACACACAAACCCAAAAAAATTTTTTCAGGGAAGAAACTAAAATGGTATTTCTCAATTAAGAGCAAAAAGCACAGTGCATACTTTGTTTTAAAAATCTATAACTTTGTATTTTATGGTCAGTTAGGGTCAAAAAGAGAGAGAAAGGGAGAGATGAAAAGTGGAGGAGAAAAAGGTGAAACATAGAGGTAAAGGGAAAAGGCAACATTTAATGTCAAGTAGAGAGGTTCAAAGGAGGCAGAAAAAAGGGAAGGAAAGACTAAAAGGGGTTCCGTGGAGAATGCTGAGTGGAGGAGGGATGTTTAACGTTGGGCTGAGCAATGGCCGTCGGAGACGTTCTCGTCTATTTTTAAAGCTCTCTGAAATTTAAATCAGCAGTCCTGAGGTAGTCCTGCTTTCATTTTTAAATGTTAAATTTCTGAAAGTTAATTTCTGAAAGCGACTCATCTGCTTTTATTTTCTAATGTCAAAGTTGATTTCTGAATTAAAGATATGTTTTGCTATTAAATTCTGAAGGTTTTATACAAAAAGGAAGAAATTACTTGGGCTACAGAAACTTCCTTTGGCCCAATTTGAGATACCTATACTCCTAGCTATTTCATGACATCTCAGATTTTTTTTTCTTATTAAAATAAGCCTTTTGCCTCAACTAAATTGGTAGATACAATGCTTAAGGGAGCCAACAATTGTCATTGATAAGGCCCTCGCCAAATAAATGTAATTAACCAATATTCAAAACGCTTCTGGAGTTGTATCAAATATTCCAAGTGGGGTAGTCAAGAGCCCCAGGCCTGAGGCTTCCATTTTGAGGACCACTGTACTATTCAGCTAAGTGTTTATGGAATTCAGGGGCAGAATTTTTCATAAACTTTCTGGTCTCCGTTTCTCCGTTTGGACGAAACGCGGCAAGGCCATGCCTAGAGTCCTTTCCCATCACAAACACTGTGTGTGCTTCATCCAGTGACGTCACCAGCTGTGCTTTGTTACAGAGTGACCTTATGATGAAATTTATTTTATTTTCTTAGATTCTTTAAGACTTTAATTACTTGTCCAGCACCATAAAATATTTTCCAAAATAGTCCTTGGGGAAACAAATTATCTACAAACTGCATGGTTTGAGTAAACTTTGGAAGAGTGGATAAGATAGTATTGTATTAGCTTTTTTTCGGGCTGTACCCTTCACATTGAAAGAAATACGAATTGCAAAATGTCTGAGACCAAATTAGCTTAGGACCAATTGTCTTTGATTGAGTAGGTGCCACTTCTGTGGGGAGTCTGTGACTAAGACAAGGGTATGTCTGAGAACACGTGTCTCAGCATTGTTGGCTACTGGGGCCGCCATGTGGCCCCAAGTTCCTGAAGTGAAGCCCAAGTCGTCCATAGTGAGTCCCAGGCAGCACGGTGGTGGGGAGAACCAGAAGAGTGATGGTGAAGAAGTTGTGCAATCTTTTTTTTTTTAATCTTTTTTTAAATAAAAAAGAGTTATTTTGCTAATTTGGTTGGGCCCTTGGAGCACAGAGACTTAGGTTACATGAAGCCCTCTGATGGGTGATCACATGGGCAACCACGTGAACTGTAAGGACATTTGCTGAGCAGATCCACAGAGGTGGCACATTAGCTCATAGGGAGCTCTTTATTTAATATTCGTGGACAGATGAACACGTCTGCCCTTCTGCCTGGTTCCTAGATTTGAACTCATTCAGCAAGCCAGGCAATTTTATCTTGTCTCATTCTTAAAAAAATAAGAAACTGACCAAACGATCCAATGTAAGAGGGTACTCACCAGTATAAATAAGAATCACTACCCTTTATTAGCAGTCGCCAAGCTGTAGGCACCGTGCTGGGTTTCGCACCAACATTCATGCATGTAAAATTAGGCGGCAGTGATGCGTCCTGAGGTTCCTGTGCTTGTGCAGTTCGCTGGCATTTCTGTGCTTCTGCTGAACTGTTTCCCCGTGTCCTGAACGCCTGTCAGGGTGGAGAGCAGGAGCAGCGTGTGAGGAGGGCTGAGTTCCGCCAGCAGTGGGCTCACCCACACCGGCTGAAGACACAAAGCCGGAGCCTCAGCGACCACTTTGGACTGGGTGCGAGGTGGAGGGCGCGGAAGGGCTTAGCGCAAAGGGACCAGAAGGGGAGGGAGGAGAAGCCACCAGCCCAAAAGGACGAAACTGGTGTGTGAGCATCGAGCAGCAAAATAACCGGCCAGCGAAGAACCTAAACCCACTTCCCACTGCCTGTTTACCTTGTACTCTGTCATTCTTTGATTTTTTCCCCCCTTCTTTTAACAGAATTGATAAAAAAATGTCTGGAGGCCAGAGTGGCTATGAACTTAGTGAAGCCAAAGCCATTCTAACTGAACTGAAATCTATCAGAAAGGCTATTAGCTCTGGAGAAAAAGAAAAACAGGATCTGATGCAGGTGAGTGATAGAACATTTTGTTAAGTCAAACTACTACTTTCTGGGGCCCCAGAAACTCTCCTTGATGCAAAATTTCTCCATCAGAGTCTAGATGGCCCTTTATCTCTCTCACACACACACACTCCCTCCTCTCTCTCTCTCTCCCTCTCTCCATTCACACGGAATTTGTTCCTGCAGGAGACTGTTAGAGGCACTGAGGCAGCTGGCTGCCTTGGAGGAAAACAAACTGGTTCCCAGGTGCTGATGTGCTTATTTGAAGGCAGGCTTTGGGGACCTTTGAGATGGGGGTGGAGGATCCTGGAGCCCGTATAAGGAGATTAGCATCTTGGTGCACCTTGCAACTCACAGAAAACTTCATGTGGAACCCTGATAAGCAGGGTTATCTAAACCAGTGATCCTCCACCCAGGATACTACAGGGGATGTCACCTGTCATCAGTAAGTAGATGATACGCCTTGAGGAGGGAGGACCTTTGAAAAGCTTTTCCCCAGCCCAGGAGAGTCCAAGGTGCTAGCTCGGGGTGGGAGGGGGGATGCTGACCCAGCTTGGGGAGATCTGTGTAGTCCAGAAGACCAGGAGAGATGCTGATGGCAGGAGATAACCTGGTTACACCCGTGCAGTCCTCACCTTGCGGGTCTTAGCTCCAGGGACCCAGCCTCAGGTGTAGAAAAAAACAAGCATTCAGTGATCAGTGTTCTGCTTTCGAATGTCTACTTTTAGCAGATACAGTCAGGTTTTTTTAAAGAGGGAGCTCTTCCTCCTCTTCTCTCCCCTCCATCCCATAATTAGCACAAGCACTGAGAATTCTTGGTAATAGTTCAGATATTCGGAGTTCTTTACCTAGCTGAGTGAGGATTTAGTCTGTGTCTTTTGAAAACTGTTACAGCCCACAGCGATGTTTGCATTCTTAGTAGAACCCTTGCATTTAAAGACCATATCTGTCTACTTTATGTCTGCTTTCAAAATGCTAGTTAAATATAGGTAAATATTCTTCAGCCCATATAATTTTGCATTTGGGGAATCTTGAAATAACTTGCAAGAGGAGATTGACTAGAAAAGACAACAATAATAGCAGCAAACACTTCACACTGACTTTGTGTCGGGCGGTCTCCCACCTGCCTCGCATGGAGAGGCTTCGTTTAATTCTCACAGCAGCCCTAGAGATAGGCAGTGTTATCCTCCTCGACTTACAGGCAAGGAGACTGCAATCTGGAGAAGTAAATACTGAAAGTCACAGAGCTGGTAAGTTGTAGGAGTGTAGGACTGGGGTTCAAACCCAGGCAGCCTTGCTCCAGAATATGTGGTTCTAACGTACATGTAACACGTGCAGAACTTTACTTGAATATGATTTGTTTGGTTCTGCAGCGATCCTGCTGATTAGATCAGTAATTCCTGAAATGCCTGGAATAGGTCCTTTGGAAAAAGTGAATGGAGCTTGACCACATTTACACTAGAACCTTATAATTTAGCAATTTTAGATCATCTCTGATTCTTCCTGAGAACTTTGGATGTATACACAGGCCAGATCATTAAAAGATTAGATTTCTTTTTAATTACTAAAATATATAAAATAACTGGTAGATGCAGAAATCAACAGGAGAGCTGAAAGGGACATTAGGTATCTTCTGTGACTTTCAAACCCCTTTGACCACGACTCACAGTAAGAAAAACACTTTACATCAAAACCCAATAACACAAACACCTTTACCTATAGATACACACACACACACACACACACAACAAATTTCACAGAATTATGCCTGCTTTTAGTACTAGTAATATAGTTTGATTTTATTTTCTAGTCTCTTCTGTTTCATTTAAAAACATACTAGTCATGTATTAAATTAATTGAGTGCACCATCATCACAGGTAGGTTTGAAAAATACACATCTTTTTACTATTCACCTGAAAAAGTAGAAAAGCCTTTTCTAAAGTCTCTAAAAGTTTTCTCTGTTCTTTTCTGTAATATATTATTTGATGTGACCATTTAAATTTTATCCCTCTTGTGTGTACACTTTATATAAATGTACCTTTGAAAGAAAATAGAGAAGGTTAGATAAAAAACAAATATCAGATCTCTGATATTTCTAATTTCTTATCATGAGAACTTTAAATGTCAGGCTTAAATCCTGCACTCTTCTTAAAGTTGATAATAGCGTCTTACATTTTTATTCGTATTTTGTGGTGGGTTTTTTTGAGTAGCAATTGAGATTTTTTGCTTTTTAATACTTTCGCTTGCTCACTTCCTCCCTCTAAACTCACTGTCTTAAACCCGGGCGCCGACCCCAGTCCCGTTGGCTTTTGATTCCGCACGTTCCCAAACCAGGCATCACTGTCTGTACCGATCGACTGTGACTTCTGGGCCTGTGCTTTCCAATCTCTGACATCAGTGTGAGCTAAATAATCTCTTGGATCCCGTCCAGGTGGAAAATGGCATAATTGTAGGAGTCTTCTAAGTTAGGACGTCTTCCTGCTCTCTCTGAAAGGAGATTGCGTTATAGGCATTCTGTGTTGCTGTAGCTTCTACTTTAAGAAGAGCTGCTGTGAGTGGTTTTTATTAAAACAGATTTTATTGAAATTTTAAAAATAAGAAATGCACGTGTTAAATATAGAGATACCGTTATTCACAGGGTGAGTAATTCCCAGGCTGTCTCTTGGGAGAGATAAGATAGCCTGTTTAATATGCTCTTACGTACCTTCAAAGGCATGTGTATATTTGCAGAAATTGTATTCTACTCTCATTTTTTCAATAATTTAAAGTGATAAGTGCCTACTAAGATAAAGTAATTGTGTTTTCCATTGAGATGAGCCCTTTCGCTTTAATTTTACCTGGTGGGGAGGCTTGGCCCTCTTAAATGTCAAGCTTCATGAAGTACTTTGTATTTCCTCAACAGAGTCTTGCGAAGCTGCAGGAGCGGTTTCATTTGGATCAGAGCATTGGCAGATCTGAGCCGGACTTGAGATCCAGTCCTGTGAACTCTCATCTGTCTCTCTCCAGACAGACCCTGGATGCTGGGTCACAAACAAGCATTTCTGGAGATGTAAGTTGTCCTTTTGGGAGAGTTGGCCCCGGTGCTGTCCTTGCTGGGCCTGATTGTAATGTGGAGGGCGCATGGAGCAGGGGCTAGAAGGTGGATGGAATTCCAGCTGTGTGCACTCTGTGTTTCATACTCATCCGATCAGTTTTAAAAATCAAAGCCTTATCTTTTCTGCCTAGGTGCCAAGCAGATCAGAATTGGTCCCTGTGAGTAGCTCTGTTCAAACTGTCTCATACTGTATTTATTTAGAGATGTTATTGAAAGGCTAGAGACACGTGAGAATTTAAGTTGTTCCAGTTACATTTAGAGTCTTGAAAATTAAGGTCCTTCCAAATCAACATTAAGGCTGATGAGAAACATAAATATATGCCTTTAAAAACTAACAGAAACTAGCAAAAGAACTTGTTCTTCCAAATCCAAGGTTGATTATATTAAAATGTGTGATTTGTGATTTACACCTGGCATTTGAAGATACTTCATTGAACACTGTTAATAATTTATGCTATACTTTTTGGGATGCCATTAGCAGACATTTACTTTTCAATAAGTTCCCAGTTATTTTTGTATTTTCTATGCTTCTTTGAATCCTGTGCTATGAAAGGGAGACAGGCAGAGATCAACAGTAGGGCTTCCGTGTTTGAAAAATTCACTTTTGAAGTTATTTAGTTGATGTTTTATGCATTTGAAAGCTACATGTTGGAAATTTTGGCTCACAGAGACAAGGAAATTAGTTCCAGTTCATAAATTTTATTGACCCGAACGCCCTTCATAAACCCTCAGATACCAGAAACATTTACCTGATACTTTTTATATTGAGTTTAATATGTGGGGAAAATGCACATTGAAGTCTTTGAAAAACAGACAAGCTTGAGCTGAAAAGAAGCATTTTGTCCTACTGACACTATCAGGGGCCCTTTTAAACTGGTATTCCCAATTTCAGTAGTACCTTCTTTAGCTTTTCAATCACTTGTCCTTCCTAGAAGCAAAAGCAGTTTACTTCATTCATTAGCAGAGTTAATTGACTTCTTCCCTCTCGTTTTTTACTAGATTGGAGTGAGAACTAGATCAAATTTAGCTGAGAAGGTCAGGCTGAGCCTCCAGTACGAAGAAGCCAAAAGAAGGTAACAGGAGGGGAGCTGTTTAGTGGCCGGGGTGGCCGGGTGGGCGGGCCCACCCGGGATTTCCTTTTCCAGAATCAGTCCTTACTCCTGGGGTGACATCTGCTGGGCGCCAGCCGCCCGTTCTTACCCAGCTCACCCTTCCGTCTTCAGGGTCTAAGGATGGAGGGGCCCCTCCCGACCTGCTCTCTGGTCCTCCCCCACCCCCGCACCGAGGCTGAAGAACAAGGGGAGGTAACGGGAAGGGTGCGGATGAAACTGTCCGCTTCTTTCTGGAAGGAAGGAGCTCTGGGCTTGTGCGGTACTTCGAATTAAAAGTGAGAAGGCTGGTGTCTCAGGTAGAAACGTGACGCGGTGGCTCCGGCGCAGGGCTTGGCGGCAGTTGAGGGGCCTTCAGGTGAACAGCTGCAAGCACCGTCCTTGGCTCTGGAGGGAAGACCCCCGCCCAGGTCCTGGGGGGCGCTGAGGCGTCTGCTGTGTGACGCACTGCGGCGGGTGTCTCTCTCCTCCCCCCCCCGCCTGCCCCCCTTTCTCTTACCTGTGACTCTGGGGGGCGAGGCGTCAGAGCCTGCTCCGTCCCTGCCTGGGTGCCTGACTCGGCTTGTTTGCAGCACGTGGGACGCCGGGCTTGTTCTGATGGAGAGGGTCGTGCTGATACCTTTCACTGTTTTACTTTTAAGAGTTTAAAAATGCTGCTGATCTATTATTTAAGAAAGCACCAGGGGACAAACCTGCCTCATCGCCCTGCAGGGGGCAGAGAAACATACCGTGTTTCCCTCTTGAGCGTGAGCAGAGTAGTGGTCCCCGCAGGGCAGCCCGGAGGGTGGGGACTGGGGACAGCTGTTATTACTGGCGATGATGAGAATTTAAAAGCAATTAGAGGTTGTCTGGCTTTAACAGAGTAATTGTTTCATCTGCCTAAATGCAAAATTTGCCTCTGTGTAGCCTCTGTTACTAATATTACCTGGTTCTCTGATTTACTGAAAGAACCCTAAGCTCTGTTCTACAAATTATTAACCACGTGAGCTTGAGCAAGTTACTTAGTCTCTCTGAGCAACATTTTACTCGGCTAATTTTAATGCCTATAAATTGTCCCAGGTAGATTATAAATTTCTTGAGGTTAGGAAAAATGTTGTGTACTTTGTTGTCTGCGTCTCAGGTCCCAGGCTGGGGCTTTGCCCTTGGTAAGGACAGGATTGCTTTGTGCTTTTGTGGCCCGGTGCTGGGGAAGCCTGTCTGGGACCCTCGGGCTGTAAGCACACTGGTGGCCCCTTAGCAGCCAGGACACCTCGGTTCTGAGGTAAACAAAGCCAGGGTCTGTGTCTGGCTTTCTGAAGGAGGATGGCCAAAACTCAGAGTTAATCCTGGGGGCCGGGTCTCTGGGGTTGAGCCCACCTTCCCCGGGCCGCCTCGCGCTTCTGCTTTACTTCGTCTGCTAACAGTTCACTCTGTGTGGACCTCACACAGCATTTCTCTTCTTGGGTGTTCCCCAGACAATGCACTCTTTCCAAATAAAATTCAAGACCTACCTAATGCCAGTCCCACCATGATCGGGGTGCTGGTCTCACCTCCCGTCCTTCCTGGCTCCCGTCCGACCGGTTAATTCCAGTCACATCAAAACTCAAGACGTTAGCTCTTTCCCACTGGGTCGTATTGCCCTTCTGTTACCATTTGGGGTTCGATTTTAAAGTTACTAGCGATTCTGACAAGAAGGTAAGCCCCAAGGGTTTATGCACATGTTGAAAATGCTTTTTCTTCCTCAATTCTGAGTAGGTAAGGAGGTGGGTTGTGTTTCTCTGAAACCTGTTTTCTCCTCCAGCCTTTGTTTTATGTGCTTAATGAAGCTAATGATATCATGCTTAGTTAGCATTTTGATGATGAATTTTCCTGTACGTTGGAACAGTTGTTTATGGTTTTGTGGTTGAAGCTGAGGAATAGCTGGCGTTACCTCTATCACAAGTGCAGGCAGCTGGGGAAAACCCGGCGCACGTTCCATGGGCAGTGCCAGGTCAAGGTGGCGATTTTGTTTTTGACCCAAACAAGACACTTAAGGGACAAAGTGGAACTGCTTCCATCTTTGTCCTGATGGCGGTTTTTGTTCACCTTTTTCTTCTCTTCTGCAACTCTTTTCTATCTGGTTTTCACTGTCTCGTGCGGGCTGTAACAGTATCCAGAGTCATCACCGGGCACTTTACTAGGAAAGGGGATTCTGCGTGCCGGCGTCAGCCGTGTGCATAGTTTACCTCGATCGTGCGCTTCTGGTCGAACAGCCAGTTGACCTCGTGGACAGTCCTGAGTGTCCTCAAGGGCCACAGAGCAGGGTATCTGAGGAGGGTGGTCACAGCATTCTCTCTGAGTCAGGAGCTAGCTCGGCCACTGAGTATGAAGCCCTGGACGAGGTGAAGTCTGGGGGCAGACCGCATTAGCAGAGCGGTGAAGCTGCCCTTTGCTGCGTCCTCCTCCTCCTCCTCTGCCTGTCCCGCCACTTCAGCCCCTACCGTCACCCTAGCGGGATCACTTCAGTTGCCTGTGCTAGGGAAGGTGCCCAGTCCTGCCAGTTAACGATGTTCAGAGGAAAACCAGGCCCACGCGGTGTCCAGCTGAGTGGGTGCCCAGTAAGCGGTGTAGACGCAGTCAGGCCCAGAGCCGGAGGAGAGGTCACTGTGCACAGCTGAGCAGGGCAGGCGGAGGAAGCCAGGCCTGCCCGCTTCCCTCGGTGCTGGGGAGCCTCGCTGGACTGACGTGGTTCTGGTCCCCGCTGGCCAAGCCACCGCCCTCTTTCCTCGCCTCTTCCTGCTCAGACTGGCTGATGCTCTGGCTGCTGCCCAGCCCACCCTGGGACCACCCCCGCCCCATACCAGGGACAGCGTTTTTACCCCAAGCAACGAGTGTCATTTGCCACTGTTTTCTTTTTTAAACAAAGCCCTCGGTGTCTCCCCTCCTCCCGCACAGGCAGGCACACATCAGCAATGACCCGCCCATGGCTCTCACAGCCCGCTGCTTTTCGAGCTTCTGTGTACTCTGACCTCCATCCCTTACTCAGGGAGGGTGGTGTGCTGACTCCTATTTTAAACGTGGGGAGAATGAGGTGGATGACAGTTTGGTGTAGCATCAGCCCGGGGCCCGGAGCTTCAGGTCAGCCTCACACCAGCCTAGCACGCCCAGCCCAGGTCTTCCCTGAGGGAAATCGGGACAGCATTTAACCCCAGACTTGGCCAGGCTTGTGTGTTCCCCTTCTTGGGACTTCTAAGAATGTGCACACCTATCTTACTTTATTTTATTGTATTTCATTTTATTTTAGTATGGCCAACTTGAAAATTGAACTGTCAAAGCTGGACAGTGAGGCCTGGCCTGGGGCGCTGGACGTTGAGAGGGAGAAGCTGATGCTGATCCGTGAGAAGGAGGAACTTGTGAAAGAGCTGCAGTTTGTCACCCCGCAGAGACGCACTCGAGAGGAGCTGGAGAGCCTGGAGGCCGAGAGGCAGCGGCTGGAGGAGGAGCTGCTGTCGGTGCGGGGGGCACCGAGCCGAGCTCTGGCCGAGAGGTTCGTCTCCCACCCCGGGCCCAGGGCGGGGCAGCCCGTGGGGGTCTCAGCTGTGCCCCCACGCCCTTCTCCCTGGTCAGATGCCGCTGCCCTCGGTGGACTCAGGACGGCACAAAGGGACCTTCTCTGTGCGGAGCAGCC